GAATAGAATAGAATAGAATAGAATAGGCCTATATTGTCCTGCACGGGGAAATTAGGGAGTAAGTAAGTAAGTAAATAAGGAAGTAAGTAAGAAAATAAGTAAATAAGTTAGTAAGTAAGTTCATAAGTTATTTAGTTAGTAATGAAGTTAGTGAGTAAGTAAGTTAGTTAGTGAATAAGTTTGTAAATAAGTCAATAAAATGCAAACCAGAGCAATAGGTCAGGCCTCTAAACCCTGACCTAAAAGAAAATTGTTCAAAAATAATAACAAAATCAACTAAAGAGGAGTAATAAAACATGCAGCCAAAGTAAAAAATAAACCCTTTAAGGCCTTTTGAAAGGTTACGAGAAAGTCTCACTCCTTGGGAAAAAAAATCTAATAAAAAAAAAAGAAAAAAGTTGACAAGAGTTCTTGACACGCCTGTAAACAGCAATAAAACCAAACAGTGAAATCAATGTTTCAAATCAGGCTTGTTCACTATTTTAGACATATTGTAGCAGTAACAATAAAGATAAAAACTATACCGTAATAAATATATACTCAGTTTGCCACAATCAATTCATAAATCTAATACATTTACTGATTTTGGCATTAGATTGTGAACAGGAACATACCTAGTCAGTGCTGCCTGCCAGCTGAGAGAATGAAGGATGTCTGTGCAGCCGTGGGTGGGAACGTGAGGAAGAGCYAGTCTGTCAAACAACATGTAGAGGCTGAGCCTGGACAGGGCAGAGGACACAGACCTGTGCCCCGCTGCAGTGACGATGGCCTGGATGCAGTCCTGCAGCGCAAACGGGAGGTGCACCGCCCGCAGCGACACAAGCTGCGACTCTGATAGTTTTAAATCGGGATGAAATCTGTCGTGGATCAATGTGCAAACAGGAAAAAAATAAATAAATGAAATTAGATTACAGGATTATGGATGTGCTGACAAGTGTATTGCATAAACAGCATACTCAAAAGCATACTAATGACTGCATTAACAAACATATTTGATCAACACTCCACGGGGACTAAAACATTCAAGAGTCCGGAAAAAAATTAAAAATCCTCCAGATTTGCTGTTATTGACTCAAGCAGACAAAAATGATCACATTACTTGTGATCAATGGCCAAGATTCAAGAAAATAATGAATTATGCCATGACGACGTGTCTACAAAGCTTCACTCGCAACAACAAGATGCTTCTCAATTGTCACAAAGTCATCCATCTTCAGCAGCTATCCTTCTCGCTGCCATAGCCTCGTACAACTCTTCAGATGGATTGATCTGTTCGCGGTGTGCTTTAAATGTCTCTGCCTTAATCAAGCTGGTTAAAACTGTGGAGAGACATCCTCATTTGTTTGAATTAGGTCACATTAGCACCGAATGAAGACAGATGAAACACAATAGGCCACAACTCTGACTCAAATAGTTTACTGAATTCCCCACTGGAGACTCTGGAGTGATGTGTAGCAGGCTCTTTTTAAAGCTCATGAACACTGCTGTACACTTCTGTTTTCTCCAGCATCCCAGATATTCCATCTCAGACCAAACCAAAGTAATAAAAATGTAGCAACTAATAAATGCACAGTATATAAACATATGACAATAAACTGATACGTTATTAAATATATCGATACTAGACTTTAAGAAACTTACTGGTCTCCATCATCAGCCTTATTGTGCAGGTTCTCCAGGAGATTATACATCCCAGAATACCATGCAGTGTTCCAGGCTACCTGCAGGGCTTGGCGTGCAGGTGTCAGGGTCAAGAGGTCGACAGAAGGAGCCAAGACACAGCAGTACGGGCTGACGGCGTGATACGTGGCTGCTTTGAAGGGAATATTGTACCTTATGGAAATGGTTAAAAATTGGAAATCTGTAAATATTGTCAGGTGAATGAATGTCAGATGGCTTTGATGCTTTATAAACAGCTGTACCTGCGTACTGCTGTTAGTGGTAAGGAGAACGGTGAAAAGGTTGCATCTGTGGTGGATTTTTCTGACCTGATGGGAAAAATTTACAAATTTGTGTAGAGAAATGGTAGAGAACAGGGTTTCTGCAAAGTCAGAAATTTTTAACACCATTCATCTAGCCACTTTGAAGAAATGGATACCAACTCTCTATATGATAAAAAACTCGACTGTCACTGACTGAATTGAAGAGTATTTTTCTAGTATGGAATTGAAGAGGGAATACAAGTAAAGCTTATGTTTTGGTCGCAAAATATCCAAGTGAGTAGGAGTTAAATGGTATAAAAACAGAGGTAGTTTTCTTTTTACTTGTCCGAGGTGAGGCAGAGTGATGGATCCTGGCAAGAGGAAGGAGAAATTGTATCCACCACCAACCACAAAGGTGGAACCAGAGGGTGATCAGTGGTGGCCTTGCCCACAATAAATATATATTTTTTTCACCCCAGTCATTTCAGGAAAGTATATTTTTAAGCAATATAAAAACTTGAAAGCATAAACTCCTCAAATAATCAGTGGCCATTTTACATGATGGTGGCTAAAATGTGGCAATGTAATGTTTGACCTTTCTTACACCTAAATGGACCTACACATCAAAATAAAAGTTGGCACTTTGCTTTTTTCCCCCCATRGTATCAACCTCACAAGACGGGGTGTTTCCAAGTCCCTTCCCCTCTCTGCAATGAGCAACTAAAAGCTCAAATGTAAAATAATGGAGGAAATAAATAAAATACACAGGGAGAGGGTAGTCTTGTTATTGTTTTGTCAGTTGGAAAACAAGAAAAGGGCTGCACGATATTAGGAAAACCTGCGATGTGTGATAACAGTGCATAATACTGCGATGACCATATGACTTGTGATAAATGAACAAATGCATAAGTATGTAGTGTGATATTTTTCTGCTCTATGTTCAGAGAAAACAACAACAAAAAAAAACTAATCATTTCCATTTCAGCACGATTTTTTTTTAAATATGAAGAGATGCATTCAATAGGTCAAATACGTGAAGGGCTCAATTTGATTGATGAAATACTTCAAGCTTCAGTCTCAGTGACAAAACGMATAAATGCAAACTTTTGAGGCAACCATTTATTGCGGTTTATGCAGTGTTTTGCGACATGCATATTGCACAGGCTGTTATCGCGATGACGATAAATTTTCAATGTATTGTATTTAAACTTACCACTTCTGAATGCTGGAAATCTCATCAAACAGCAGCAAACTCATGAGGACAGCAATCTCACCTCCATTCCCCTTGTTCTCTTTTAGTATCAAAGTTGCTACAATAAACAAACATATACAGTTTACATATTAACTAAATGCATCTGTAAGATTTAATTCAACTTAAATTTTTTATGACACTGCAAGATCTACAGTGGTTTGCAAAAGTATTCATACCCCTTGAACTTTTCCATATTTTGTCACWTTACAACCACAAACATAAATATATTTCACTGGAATTTAATGTGAAAGACCAACACAAAGTGGTATACAATTGTGA